CCCCCCCACACCTTCATCCTCATTCAATTACGGCAAAAAAATCCCACGGTGATAAATCGATTGTTCACGGGTATTCGCGATCCTTGTCATTTGAGCTGCTGCGCGGCTGGACCCGAAGCCTCCGAGGTGTCAAAGAGGAGTGCGAGAAGGAAATTGAGAGATTCGAAAGGAAAGACGAAAGATCAAGGGGAAATGAAAAGGAAAACCCAGGTGGGAAAAAAGAGCGGAAGAAGTAGAAGGATAAAAAATCCGTGGGTCTACGGAGGAAAGAAAAGATCCGACTGAGTTGGGCGGGAGAACCGAAGGACTGGAAATAGTGGGACTGGACGAGCAGCGAACCAATGAACCAATGAGACAATGGGACAACGAGACAATGAGAAAGAGGAATCTGGGCTCCGGAGGATTGGCGACATCGCGGCCAAGCTGGACTAAGCCTCCCGAATGGTTAACACCGACGTCGCCGAGCAGAGTCAGGACATTCGTTCTTCTGGACTCACCGAAGAGACACGCGAAAGCGCAGCGATTGCCAAAACGTTCGATCGCTAAGGTACACGGCGCGCAGTGAGTTTTTCCTTTCTGGGATTTGAGTATTCTTCCTTCTTCGAAGGAAATTCCAGCGTTTCTCACGGCGATTCGTATAAATTTAACTGAGACGTCAACGATACACGACAGCTGCTTCTTCGATATCCGCTAATTCAAAAGGAGGGATAAATCGGAATCGAGGATTTCATTGGCTGTGAAGTAAATGCGAGTCTCGCTAATCGGTGCTGAGGTTAATGGACAACGAATGCAGGATCTTTATTAATTGGACGCGCAGGACGTGAGCAAAGTGAATGACAGTGGAAAAGTTGAGGAGAGGCAGTGAGCTTTTTTTCCAAATTTTTTTAAAAGTTTCCCTACGTTTCTCTCGATTTTTCGAGATAGGTGAGGAATCCTTTTCACTAAACTTTCTTACTCTGGCATTACAGTAAGTTAGATAACTAGGAACTTCGATATTTTTAATGTACCGTTAAAAAATTCATGAGACTTTAATTAGTTTTTTTCTGATTTTTCTTGCTTTTACGCGGTCATAAATTTTGTAGTAGCTCAGGAAAATGTCTATACCGTTACGGGAGAGAAAGTCCTACGGAACTGAACTGAAAATGGTTGGAGAAAGGTATCGGCGCTCAAATCGATCTGTTTCGATTATCACGAAGGGAAGAACGTCCGGAAATTAAAAATGAAAAAAATAAAATTTTTGATTCTTCAATCCCAGTAAAAAATGCTCGGAGACGATGACCATCTTTTCCGCGTTACATGTTGCAGAAATTCCAGTTGTCTCGTAATGTCTTGGGTTCCGCCAAATTTGGCAGAATTATGCTCAGCCCACACGACAGTCTCCAGCTGCCAGCCGGCATCCTACATGTTCCTGGCGATCGTAGCCAAACTTCTGGGCAAGTCGAGAGACGGTCGCATGGGCCATTCGAAAAAGTTGTCCTCGTCGTTGTATTCGCCGCTCAGGAATCTCGACTACGGTCGAAAATTGTCGACGAACGCGCAGAGCAACAAGGCGGCCGACGTCGACGCCACAAATCCGTACGCTTATTACATGTCGACGTTTGGGCTCCCAGCCTCGGGTCAAAGGGCGAATCTCCAGCCAGTCACCTCTGGCAGCCATTTCGACCATGGTCGCAGCTCGAGTAGTCCTGTGAGGAGGTTCCGGGTCGGGACGCAAAGTCAGGAGCCCACCGACGCCGGACGCGGAGCGCCGCTCGTTGGCGAATACTCGAGTTACTATACGACGGAGTCCAGTTTGTCGCAACCAGTCGGAATCGAAGAACGGGACGGATACGAGGATAGAGAAAATGACGACTACAATTACGAATCAAGGAGCGCGAATTACGAGACGCCTGAGGATCCTGTGATTTATCGAGAAATGGCCTCGTTCCTACTGGGAAATTCCGAGGACTCGATGCCCCTGTATCCTCCACTTTCCTACGGGGAGGAACCGAACGACGATCTGGCAGAGGTCAAGCCTGACGGGCGACGAGTCGCTGCTTCTGGACGCGGCCAGGATCAGCCTGACGTCATCCCTGTTGTCGAACGGCTCGAGGAAATCTCCGACTCGGGTTTCGGTACTGGTTTCGCCATTTATGACAACTGGAAGAAGAACATTGGCCAAACGAGCGAACGCCTGCGGAAGCTGGACGTCGAGGACGTCGAGGACGTCCAGGGCGCCTACTCCGAGAATAATTTACTTTCGTTGTCCACGGCTGCTATTGAACTGACTCAGGCTCTTTTCCCGAAGCAGCAAGGCTTCTTGCCCAAGGAGTTCGACTTCGTTATCGTCGGCGCCGGTTCCGCCGGTTGCGTCTTGGCCAATCGGCTGTCCGAAATTAAAAAGTGGAAGGTACGTAACTCTTTCTTCTACACGATCCACATATCTTTTAGTTTGCTTCGAGAATTCTTGCCGGAGCTACTTTTTCACATTCTTAATCTTCTTTAACGTGTGGCCAATACAAATTTTGAATCTAACACTTTTACATATCTCTTAAGTATATTTCTTTTTTCATCCAACCAATTTGGATCGTTCACTGTAACGATTTTCGTTCAAGAAAATCATTAGATTGGGTTATATGGTTTACTATCACGAATTTGATCTTATTTTTCAAAGTTTTCCAGTAAAAAGGTTAAATCGCACAATTGAGTTTACTGAATTTAGCGCTCGATCAATTGCATATACGTCTACTTGGGGAAATTTCATAGAGACGAATCACGCGGCGATAGGACAGTTCCGTAATATTGCACAATTCAGCATTATCATCATTAATTATCTTCGAATCGTACGAAATGGAGTCCCTCGCTATTCTTCAGTTTCCCAGCAGTAAAACTCGCAGCAGACGTGTCGACTGGCAAGAATCGGGATGCCGGAATTTCGAGATTGCCCAAAGACGAAGTTCCATTAAAATCTAATAAAATTTCTATCGTCCACATCCAATACGCAATCTACGCTAAAAGCGCATGTTGTGCAATCTATCCGAACACAATACGAAGCCAAAGGCCACACCTAAGCCTGGACAAAAGTGAACGCGTATCCCGAACACGAGCATTCCAATCGTTGGAGCAACAACTATGTGTTCAACAGTGCTGAACTGGAACGTTCGGCAGTTACTTAACATTGGATTCCGTTGGACGCAAGAATATTCGATATATTCGATATATTCGATATATTCGATATATTCGATAAACTCGAAGGCGACCGACCCTACAAATTCATATACATGTAGGTAACTCAATAGGACGTGAAAAAGGGCAAATCCTTGTAAAAAATAAATCTCGACGATTTTGTCAAAACGATTTCTTTCCCCGCAGTAGACAAACGATCCTTGTCAAGTAACACAGGTAAACGTTAACTTACAGCTGGACGCATTTTACAGTAAAAGTAGAACGTTTCCAAGTGTTTTGCATGAAGTAGCAACTTTGTGCTGCAGGACTCTCTAGTAATTTATTTCTCGTAAAACAAAGAAACGTTCGGTATTTCTCCTTACCCACACGTGTTTCGGCCGCCATTCGGGTGCAGTTGGTAACGTGGCCAAGGAACAATTTCATTGAGGGATAATTCGCTGTTTGTCATTATTGCGCAAAACTGACGGAGCACGTGTACTCCCATTTGAATAGCAATCTGCCTAATCCCAAGAACCTAACGCCGTGGCGAGGAAACGAGAGAGTTATGCAAAATCTGAGAATCGTTAAAACAAGAGCTACGCTCCTTATTGTCAATTTGACATTGCGTCATGCAGACAACCATGTGCAACCATATAACGGTTGAAATTTTGCAAAAAGCACACTGAATCGGTTTCACGTGAAACGACGGGGCAGCGATTCGAGACGATTATTATTTTGTACTTTTTTCGAAATTCCCGAGAAATTTTCGCAATCCGTTTGCGCAAGAGAGTCGTGGAGTTAAATAGGAAAAATCCGAGTTGCACCGAAAATCAAGGACTCGGCCTACCTTGTGGATCGACGCGTGAGAATGCGCTCAATTGCCCAAGGGAGGTTGCGCTCAGAAAATAATGAAATATTTATCGACGGTAAAGCCTTAAGGTTTTTCTTTTCTTTCCCTATTAGAATATCCATTACAGACATATTCCGCGCCTTTGCATAATTAATCGTTGGGGTACGGCAAAAGACTTGGAGCATTGCAAAATAAATGTGACGTCGCAATTAAAAAGAAAAATATATTTTCATCATCCAAGCAATTTCTTCGGGTTGCGTAAAATATAGATCGTAGTTTAAGGCGGTAATTAAATCATTAATTATAAATGAGAAATATTGCAAAATTAATTAGCCAGTCAAAGATCCGTCCACTTAGCCCGACGACGGACTAGACTAGCACGCTTGGAGACGGTAACGCGAAAGATTAAGCTTTTTTTCCAAAAATTTGCGAGGACAGCCAAAAAGATATTATTCAACCGGAAAGAGCGTGACGTAAATCGGTATATTCGGAAGGTACAAAAAAGTTCCGTCCATTTGGATCAGCCCATTTCACTGTGCTGCCAAGCTGTGCGTGAAATATATACGAAGAGGGGTTTGCGTAAGCAAAGAGAAAAAAAAATTCCTTTTTCCAAAAGCAGCGAAGGGAAGTGAAATCTTTCGTAAGAATCGAAGACTCGATTAGTCAAAGTGTCTTGGCGGTTCTCGTCGCCGTTAGGTCGGATAAGGCGATAAGCGACCGAATGACAATCCATCCGCACTATTCGCAGATATTACTACTGGAGGCCGGTATAGAAGAACCCGAGGTTGCCGATGTACCGGCATTCGCTTCGATGCTTCAGGCCAGCAACATCGACTGGAAGTATCGAACGCAACCGGAGAAGCACTCGTGTCGATCGAGACGCGGGAAGACCTGTCCCTGGGCTCGGGGCAAGGTGACGTCATATCAGATAAATAAATAACTAGATATCATCTAGCGTTCAATTTTCCTTATTCGACAAAATTTTGATCCAGGTAATGGGAGGCTCCAGTACGATCAATTATATGATCTATATACGTGGAAACCGGAAGGATTACGACGATTGGGCGCAGCAGGGAAACGACGGCTGGAGCTACGATCACGTCCTCCCGTACTTCCTCAAGTCGGAGAACAACGAGGATCACGACGTACGGAATGACTCTGATGAGCCTGGCTGGACGAGGTGGCCGGAAATTGAGGTATACGATCGAGCTTTCTTTTACAGATCCTAAAGGAGAATCCGCACTACCACAGCAAGGGTGGTTATCAGAACGTCGAGCGGTTCCCGTACGACGATAAGAACGCGGACATCTTGATCGACGCTTGGAAGGAACTGGGCTACAGGGAAGTGGACTCCAATGCCGAGGAGCAGCTGGGAGTGATGAAGCTGCAATCGACGTCGATCCACGGGAGTAGGCAGAGCACGAACGGCGCCTTCATAAGGCCGATCAGATACAAGAGAGAGAATCTGGTGATCGAGACTCAGGCCCACGTGTCCCGGATCCTGATCGATCCTAAGACCAAGCACGCCACTGGAGTGGAGTACATGTCGACCAGGACTGGATTCGTAAAAGTGGCCCTTGCCAGGAAGGAAGTGATCCTGTCGGCCGGCGCGCTCAATTCCCCGAAGATCCTCATGCTGTCGGGTGTGGGTCCTGCGAAGGAACTGAAGAGTCACGGGATCCAGGTCATCTACGATTCTGCCGTTGGGCACAATCTTCAGGATCACGTGACCATGGACGGATTCGTTATCGCACTGACGAACAAGACGGCCACCGCCAAGAACAACGAGGGAAAGTTAAAGGACCTCAAGTACTACGAGCAGACCCACATGGGTCCCTTGTCCGCGACTGGGTCCTTGTCCTGCGGTGTCTTTGCGCAAACTTTGTACCAGCATGGGTTCGACAAGCCTGACATACAGTACGCCTTCGACGCGAGCAACATCAAGGACTTCTTGACTGATCCTGCCGAGTTTGGCGAAACTGCCGTGGAGCCACTGGCGTATTATGACGCGATCAACATAAGACCCATTCTGTTGAGTCCCAAGAGCAGGGGCTACCTCAAGCTGAACGATACCGATCCAGTCTGGGGTCAGCCGTTGATCTACCCGAAATACTTCACGGCTTACCCCGATCTGGACGCCATGGTAGCTGGAATACAAATAGCCCAGCGTCTATTTGATACCAGGTCCTTCAAGGAACACGGATTTCAATTGATAGACGCGCCCCTTCCGGCTTGCCAAAAATTCAAGTTCGGGACCCACGAGTATTGGGAATGCGTCCTGATGGAATATACCGGGACCATTTATCACCCGGTTGGGACTTGCAAAATGGGACCCAAGGAAGACCCCCAGGCGGTGGTGGATCCTAAATTGAGGGTCTACGGCGTCAAGGCACTCAGGGTCGTGGACGCGTCGATTATGCCAATCATAGTCAGAGGAAACACCAACGCGCCGACGATCATGATCGCTGAAAAAGCCAGCGACATGATCAAGGATCACTGGTTACACGAATGATCTGGACCTTGTGGTTCGCTTTATTCATTCTTCCACCATTGACCATTCTTCGACGTGTCTTTCGTTGAAGCGATTATGAGACAGAGTCACGATTTTGGGATATCGATTTTTCGGATTGGTTAAAATTTTTTACGGGATCGAATTCAAGTTGCCATTAAAAGAATTGTCCATTCTTTTAGGGATTTTGGGAAACGGTCAATCAACCAACTGTGTCATAGACATTATACGTAGACAGTAATTTTAATGAAACGTGTAGTGGCTGCTTGATGGGAATTATACACCTGCAGTAGGTACACGCCGCCATTCTACCACTCCAATGATTAAACGCACGTGACAGAGCCATGTATATAGTATAAATATGTCGAATTTTAACCATTTTCGAAATCGATATTCGCTCCAATCTCTCGCCTTTCCATTTATTCAGAATTTTGACATGCGTGAATTGCCATGCAACAAAACAATCTGCTACTCGTATAATCAACTGTCAACGAGTCTCGTGAAAATCTCGATTTTACTCGCAAGATCAAACGCACGTATTTCTGATTCTAGTGTTATCTTTCATGCAGTCCTAAGATTCTGTAAGACGGTAGATATCGAAGCAACAGGTTGTTGCGCCTAACTATAATCTTATTGAAACGTAAAGTTATATTGTTAATTATCATTTGTTATCAAATACACTTCTTCTTCTTGTGTATCACGTATACGTTATATAATTTTTATTTCGCGTACCGTCTTCAACACAACAAATGATGACAAATAATTTAAGATACAAAATTTAAGAAATTGCTTTTGACATACATCGATCTGATCCGTGTTGCAATAGAGTCAACTGCCATAACCGAGTAAGTCGATGTAGTTAATGATTAATCAAAAAAAAAAACAAATTACCCACTGACACGTGGCCTGTGGCTATAAAAACTGGACATAAAAGTAGGGAGAAGCCGCGATGACACCGTGACTTTTAACAACAACGAGAAGCTAATGACGTATTTATAAAAAAAAAAAACACCTATATATTACGTCACAGCAGGCTGCATCGTCATTTTGTTTCTCCTATGCAAGACGTTCGGAGCGATTGAAATTTTGCAAATTAGCACTCGTATCGAAATTTTGTATAGTCACGAATTCCCATCCTTAAGTAATCGTGAAGACGATTTTCTATCTGTTACCGCGTTAACGCAACTTTTGGACCTCAAAGTCTCTCGAGACTTTCTATAACAATGTCCTAACGTTGAGGTAGAAGAGGAGCATGAAATTTCTACGTGTTCGAGCTCTTGTGATATATAGTCAATGAAAGTAAAATTGATTTTACGAAGTTTACTCAAAAGTAAAAAAAATTGCCAAAATTACAACCACGTGCAATTGACTGGATACTGACTAAGCAATTGGTTTCCCCACTGGAACTCATTCTTGAAAATTGAAATACACACAACCGGGTACACCGCAAACCTGAGCCTGAAACTGGTTCCATCATGAAATAACTATTACACACGTTGACACAACGTTAGAAAGCAAATCTAACGCTTCTGGTCTGGTCTCTAAGAAAGAATCTGCAAACGTCAAACGTTTAGAGAGACTCGACCACGAGCACGTGGGAAGGACTCCCCATGGGACAGAAGGGACGACCGGGGGAGGATTGAAATCCGAACGTTCACATACGCGCACGTGCGCACGCTCGAGGCAAAGTCAAATTCGTAGTAGACGAAAATCACCTGAGAAATGTGAATTTCAAAATTTCTGGAAAGTCAGCGAGTCGACCAGAAAGTATTGTCGAGTGTAATTTCTTAATTTTGCCTAAATGCGAAAACCCATTACCGATGACTTTAAGGACAATAAAAATTTTATTCAATGACGACGACGAGTAAGAAAAATTTTTTCTTTTGGAAATTCGACTGATTCTCATTAAAGTATCGTTTTTTAACTTACGTTACTGTTTTCCGCTATATCGACACCTGAGCAACATTTAAAGATCCCTGTACGTTTGGACTCGCGCCATTTTGAAGATGCAGAATTTTAATTTGACAATTTTTCTCGAATTCGCATGCCTGTTTTTCGCGATACTCGTTCTTGGCTGCTCCAATGGAAATTCTTGTGTACGTGCTCATCGGCACGTGCAGATACAGATATATTTGGCCACGTGAAAACGCATCCCTCGGGCTCAAGGCGAACTCTCGCTGAGACAAGTCTTTCTCCTGCAGAGAGTGCTGCCGTCGCGAGTGCTTTATACGTTAAACCTAAGTGCGAGTTCTCAGTCTTACGCTTTCACCTGCTGCGCCAGTTCGTGACCAGTGCGATCGCACTGAGCGACCGTCTATCACTTGACTTCGCCTCAACTCTAATTGACTCTTTAAAGGTTGGTACTGCACCTTCGACTTTTAGCTAATTTTTTTCTTTTACTACGTTTAAATGCCAGCGGTTTTCGTCATAATTCAAATTTGATTATTTTTCTTGTTTTCTTTTTTTTACACACTTTTTCCAGCATGCAAATCGATTTCTGGTCCACGCGAAAGTTGACAAACATGTCCGGTTGAATGAATAGAGGATCTTCGGACTTTCATTCATTTGTTGCAAATATTCCATTGGCAATCTTCAGCTGCCGTAGTGGATAACAGCGTAAGTCAAGAATTATGGATACTATGTTTATCTACGTAATGCGTGTTCATGTGACACGTGATATCATCGTTCATTACTCTTACCTGTTATCGTTGTAAATAATGTGCATAGACATGGGAGTAGTGCTTATGAAAAGTATAGATGCAATGACAGACAATTATTATACCGGTTAAATACCGTTAGCCAATTTATAGTCGTTCTATTAATATTCACGATTAGCATTTTTGGAATTTGATCGACGTAAAAAAAACTGTCGAAATGAATTCGTGCTAAAAGTTTCTCGTGTGTGTAGAACTTAGTGCTTCGATCCAATATTAATTGACACTATGCTCGATGCACGTGAAATTATTCGCATGCGCCAAGCTTCGTGTTTCACAATTAATCGTATTAATTGGCATTACGATTATCCGTCCAATTTCTATATTAATTGCAGACGCGTTCGGTGACCGAGAATGTAGGGTGACGTGTCCTTCCGTGGGAAGGTGCATCGTGTATCTGAATCTCGGGAGATTTTATTATCAAGATTTTTTAAAAATTCTTTCTCTCGTATTTCTTGAATAAATCGACTATAGCAATCACAGAGCTTGGGAATATTACAAAAAAAAATTACTTATGTCCAATATATCGAGTCATGGCAAATTATTGATAAATATTTAAAAAATTCTCCCTATAGATCGTTTTTACGATCAATATCCTAACATATCGTTATGCATAGAAATCCCATTAAAGTATATGTGCATCATATCGAGACTCGGTTATAAGGAAAAAAAATGTTATATTGCACAACTTCAAAATCATTATTTAAGATATTTGAACTAAAGAGTATTTTTTAAACGAGTGACTAATATACAAAGAAATTTCTTAAGGGCCCCATGAAGTTCGGTATTAGGTACAGTTGAAATTTCATGACCTTGAACGCACGTGGTACTGACGAAAGAGAGAGACATACCAGTACAACGGAATACGCTACTATAAAGGAGCATTCACAATTTCGTCTACATCGAATAACCCGATTACCTTGATCCACTATAATATTAATATAACTATATATAACATAATAATATTCAAATATGCAAGCTGGAGTGAGTCGATTATTTATGCAGAATTCAAATCATATCGCCACTCACATATTTCCTTTCACCAATTATATTCGCAATGAGGCTCTTTGCCAAATTCATTATGATCGATGACGTCATTATTGCGAAATTTTCAAAAATTAGCAATCCGTCAATCAGTTTTATTTTTAAAAAAAAACTACTCAATCATTTGCTACGAAATTAATTTTCAAAATTTTTTTTATTTCGCGTAGTCAAATTCCAGACGTGCCATTTCATACAATCCATACTTTATGCCCAGTACTGACTCTGTAGCGACTCGTATAGCTGTTGCGCAATGATCATGATGGGTCCGACTGTGGCCTTTATGCCCGTTATGCACATTATGCCAGAGTCCACTATTTTGAGCGAATGTCCAATATACATGGCAAATAGTAAAATTGATGAATCAGACGTTCGGGCGATCTGTGAGAAAGTGAAATTGTTATCCTATTAACATGGGCCAGGACGTCAGTCTTATGTGAGATAAGTGATAATGACTTGCGCAACTGAAGATTTCAACTTCGCTGTTCGTAGGCATGAAGTGACCTAAATTTATTTTTTTGATAGGAACTCGATATTTAGGTGTATCGAATATTATTATAGTTATGTTTACCGCAAGGCGTACCGTGACGGTATCATTGTGTATAATTATAATCGGAAGTTGAGACAATCTTTTATACTTTCGTTACGTAATGATTATGGACTTTTTTTTAATTATAAAGTTTTTTTTTTAATTACGCGTCAGGCTGTGCAATCTTATCAAATTTATTGAATTGCACTTAATATAGAATAGGAGTGAATTAATTAAATTTCCAAAAATTTTTTTTTTTAGAAATCTTAATGGGACTGTTATACAACTGACCACCAAGGTAACTATTATAGCATATACCTATATACACGCCAAGTTATCCGTTTCCGACAGCTTTATGGTTTATTCTAAACGATTTTGATAATTTCAGATTGCACGACGAGTCTCTGATAAGGATATTACGTAAGAGAGGAATATACGAAGCATCCGTTTTGCTGGAGAAATTTTATCAATGGTCTTGACGTCACTACGATGAAACTCCACAGGGTTAACAGTTTTCGAGGGAAAAGTAATAATTTAATTACCTGAAACTTCAAAATAATAAAAGCTCGGGTAAAGCTCGTCTAAGTTCCCGTACAATAAACAGTTCGTTAAAAGTGTTCGTAAAAATGATGAATGACTGAAGAAAATAAAATCGCTGCCCGAGATGTTCCTTGTAAGTCGACGTAGTGAAGTCTGTGCTTGACCAAAGAGTATTTTTCGCATAAGGAAAAAAAAAAAAAATTGGATAGCAATTATTTAAATATCGTGAAGTTTGTGAGTAAATAAACAAAAAAAATTTGATGAAAACTCAAAATGGCAGCTATACTAACGGTAATAACAAGTGCGGTGAAAGCAGCGACTGTACTTTTGGGAATCGGGAAGGTCGCGTTCGTCCCGACCTTAATAGCCGCATTGGCATATTACAATTATGACCTAATGGACCCGGAAAATCAACCTCAAGTGACGCGAAATCTTCGGAAGGAATATGATTTCGTAGTGGTGGGGGGCGGCTCGGCCGGAAGTGTCGTAGTGAATAGACTCACGGAAAATCCAGAATGGAACGTGCTCCTGTTGGAAGCTGGAGGACAAGAAACGGAAATAACAGACGTGCCAATTTTATCATTGTATTTGCACAAAAGCAAACTCGATTGGAAATACAGGACGCAGCCGCAGAATTCAGCCTGTCAAGCAATGGTCGATCGCAGATGCTGCTGGACCAGAGGTAAGGTGAGTTTGGGATGATCCTTATCTGGACGGCTAAGGATCATAGGAAAATAGTCTGACCTCCGTTATCAGTTTTGTAAAATTTTTGTCTCCGCGTAAAACATCAAGTAAATATATTCTTAACCAGAATTTATTGCGAAACTTGTCCTGGAAAAAAAGGAATTACCTTGTCGCGTGTCAGGCTAATTATTGAAATGACGTAAGAAACACGAGTGACCGGATGCACGCGAGTTTCATTTGACGTTTACATACAACGTGTCTTGCATCTTGTCGACTGTTTCCAGGTCCTGGGTGGTTCGAGCGTCTTGAACACGATGCTCTACATTCGGGGAAATCGACGAGACTTCGACCAATGGGAGAGCTTCGGTAATCCTGGCTGGGGATTCGAGGATGTTCTTCCTTATTTCAAAAAGTCGCAAGACCAGAGAAATCCCTACTTGGCACGAAACACCAAATATCACAGTACCGGTACGTATACGGTGAATAGTCACTTTTTCTATCCACGTGCACAGTCATAGGACTATCCAGTGACTTTTCAGTGACTTTTAATTCGCGAGGTTGTTGCTGCTGCACGTGAAACCAGTAGGTATGCGATGCGAATCTTGAGCAACGTAATTGCTGTGGATTAGAAAGTATTTTGTGACAGTTCAGAGAACACGGAATCTTTGATACGCGGAGCGAAGAATTTTGCTTTAAATTGATACTTGCTTTTTTGGGTAAAAATAACAGAATCAATACGATGAGAATTACATAGAACAAAGCCGAGCATCGCGAACTGCTGTTCAATTGACACGGAACGTTTAGTCTGAGAAAATAAATAACAACGAGTGATCCAGAAAGTAGCTTCGTTAGTGGGCATAATGTACGTTAAATACGAAACCTGCAAATTAAAAGTTGCGATAAAAAATTGGACAAGCCTTTTTTTTTCATCCGACTTATATACATTCTCACTTGCCTCTCTCCGATATTCGATCGATCGATTTATCTCGACGGACGGGACTGTTTGAGAAATTAATTGCAATTTGCTGACATAAACTAAAGTGTACCCGATAAAGTGAATAAGATCAATCGTTAGTTGCATTCCCATATAATCGCAAGTGCATTACAAAACGTTCAAGTTGCGTATTTAAATCCAGGCAACCGAGTAATAGAGAGAGATCTCATAATTGACTCTTCGATTGCCATCTATGAGAAATAATAATCATTTTTATGAACGCTTTTTATTCTTAATCTCATCGTCCGACAGGGTTCACGTTGCTCTTCTCGTTAGATTCTTTCGGACAGACGTACAAGTATTACCTAACAGCCATGCGTAATTACATCGTAATCGCGGGGTCAAATGGAATCGTCTATTTCTGGAGACGCGCGTAAGTCGATCTCGGCGAATTTTAATAATCGTAACACAGAGCTCGATTGCGTTCGCGTCTTGAACTCGGATCAAGTTATTACCACGAGGCTTAATTGAGTGTTGCCTAGATAGAAACCGGTTATCAATGGTCGTCAGGGATCGTTAGATGATAATTAGCAGACTTGTAACACAAGCCGGCAGAAAAGTTTTCAAAGTACGTTAACCGGCCGATAACGTAATAAGAATATAATGAGCGCGAGTCTCTCGTAATTCGAGAACCGATTTTGATTGCGAAGCTCATGAAAAGGTAATGAAAAAAAGAAATGACAAAGTTTCGAAGTACAGAATTGGAGGTCGCGATTATATCGAAGAAGAGAAATTGTGTGATTGTGCTTCCGGTCGAAAGTAGCCTTTGACGTTTCTGTTGGCAGGAGGATATCTGACTGTTCAGGACGCCCCGTACAACACGCCTCTGGGCGTCGCATTTCTCCAGGCCGGCGAAGAGATGGGCTACGACATCGTGGACGTAAACGGCGAGCAGCAGACGGGCTTTGCCTTTTATCAGTACACGATGCGAAGAGGAACGCGGTGCAGCGCTGCCAAGGCCTTCGTCAGACCAGTCCGACTGCGTGCGAATCTGCATATATCCCTGTGGAGCCACGTGACCAAGGTCCTGATAGATCCCCAGACGAAGAGAGCCTACGGGGTGGAGTTCATAAGGGAAGGACGGAAGCGGGTAGTCTACGCGAGGAAGGAAGTCATCCTGGCGGCCGGTGCGATCAACAGTCCCCAGTTGCTGATGTTGTCGGGAATTGGACCCAGGTCCCACCTGGAGGAGGTCGGGATCCCGGTGATCCAAGACTCGCCAGGGGTAGGTCAGAACCTCCAGGACCACATAGCCGTCGGGGGCCTGGCCTTCCTGATAGACTACGAGATCAGCATCGTGATGAACCGGCTGGTGAACGTGAACTCGGCCCTCCGCTACGCCGTCACCGAGGATGGACCACTGACGTCGAGCGTCGGCCTGGAGGCGGTCGCCTTCATCTCCACCAAGTACGCCAACAAGACCGACGACTGGCCCGACATAGAGTTCATGCTGACCTCCTCATCCACCAACTCCGACGGCGGGACCCAGGTCAAGAACGCCCACGGCCTCACCGACGAGTTCTACAACGAGGTCTTCGGGAAGATCAACAACCGAGATGTCTTCGGCGTCTTCCCGATGATGCTGCGTCCCAAGTCACGTGGGTTCATCAAGCTCAAGTCCAGCAACCCTTTGGACTATCCGCTCATGTATCACAACTACCTGACCCATCCCGACGACGTCGGCGTCCTGCGCGAGGGGGTCAAGGCCGCCATCGCTTTCGGGGAGACCACCACCATGAGGAGGTTCGGTGCCAGGTTCCACAGTAAGCCCTTGCCCAATTGCAAGCACATTCCTCAGTTCACGGACGAGTACTGGAATTGCGCCATAAGGCAGTACACCATGACCATTTACCATATGAGCTGCACGGCCAAGATGGGACCTCCCAGTGACCCGATGGCTGTGGTCGATCCTGAGTTGAGGGTCTACGGGGTCCAGGGACTCCGAGTGATCGACGCTTCGATCATGCCCACGATCACTAATGGAAACATCAATGCTCCTGTCATCATGATCGGAGAGAAGGGCTCGGATCTTATCAAGGCCCAATGGCTGGCTTCATCGAGAATGGACAACCTCAGTTTGCCAGCCGCGTGAATTATCTCAATTCACTGATTCCTTGGAGGAAACGTGTACATATGTATCTAGACGCGCAACGAAGGAGTTGACCGACATAACGGGTGTTTTTAAATACACGAAGAATCTAGACGTGCTCGGCGATTCCTTGCAAGCAACAATTCGAACCAACTCCACGAACCCACTTTCTTATATATATATATATATATACACACAATGAGATGCCCGATGTCGTCTAATTTCTGTACAAATATTCGCGATAAATACTGATTAATATGGTTTATAAAATCGACATGTCGATACGTCAATTTTACACGTGCCATCCCAACGTGGCCAAATATTCTTCTTGTAAATCGAAGAGAAATGCCTGTTCTAGAAAACACTCAATGGATTCCCCATTAAATCTCTAGACAAAGACCAATGCTGCCAGTCCCAAAGTCCAATTTACTCAAAGTAACGATTATTATATAAAATGTATAATAGCATGATAAGAGAAGTTTAAAATTATTTTTTACACATGGTGCCAGATTGGAAAACCGTTGTGAAATAAAACAACATGTGTTCAGATTCGCAGGCCTACGATGTTTTCACAAACTTCATCCTTTTCACAGTGTACAGTAGTCACGTGTACATAATGAGTGTTGGTACTCCAAAAAATATATATTCAAAGACTCTGTAGAAAATGTATTATTCATAGGGCATTTTTGAGTAAAGAAGGAAATTACGGCTACGAGGTAAAAAGCCAATGGGAAAAGTATCCATGTAGTCGTAATAACGAAATGTCGACTAATGGGAGCGGAATGGCAATAAGAAATACGTAAATAAAAATGATGGACGCTAAGGAAAAAGGTGCCTACGAGACAGCACCGATATTTCCAATTGATCGGAGCCACTCCCTGAAGAGCCTACGTCTTCTATATTTATACGCCCTTTTGCTTCTAACTCACTCGATATCATTGGACCATTGGAAATAATTGGAAACTCCTATATTGATGAGGCAAAGATTTAATATCATATGTTGCGTCATTTTTATAGCAGGGACGAAAGATGCAGAATATATTAACATAACGGTTGAATTGCTCAAGACTGTCTGATGGGACTGTACAGAGCCACCAACCAATTTGAAAGTTTCGTCTATTCTATATATCAGAAAGTCCCACGGCTCAGAGTGGGTTACGCGTTGCGTTGTATTTTGCTATTAAACAGTTTTGTAATACCGATTTCTTATAATAAAATTTTATTTATTTTTTCCTAATCGTCACGGTGAAACGATGGGGTCCAGATAATCGGAAGATCCCGAATATCCCTGGACCGGAAAAAATACAGACGGCGACTGTGGATTTCGTGATGATCCCCCCCCCCCCCCCCCCCCC